CCTGGCTACAAATATCTAGATTTTTTTCTTTCTTTTTCTTTGGTGGTACTAGGGTTTGAACTCAGGGCCTTGTAACTTTCTCTTACCCTTAGCCCCTTTGGCATCTGCTGGCAGAACTGAAGCACTAATGTGTTGCTAGCCTTTGTTTTCAGTGGCTTTCAAACTCTGATACTGGTCTTCTCACTACTCTGCTCCTGTAAGACCCAGCCCCTTGGGTATTCCTGAGACATGCCAGAACTATGGATGTGTGGGTTCACTCTTGTTTCTGCCCTGAGGGAGGAGCCCTGGTATGGGGAGTTACCTTCTAGTTATGCCACGCTATGCTGCATAGGGAGAGAAGTACTAAAAGTTGCTGCTTGGGGGCTGATTGTGCACTGAATTCATATGTTGAAACAATCACCAAGGTGATAGGCCTAAGAGGTGAGGCCTTTAGGAGGTGATGAAGTCATGAAGACAGAACCCTCATGGATGGAATTAGGCCCTTATAAAAGTGAGGAAGGAGGGGTTGTAGATTTAGCTCAGTGGCAGAATGCTTGCTTAGGATGCATTAGTCCTTGGGTTCAACACTCAGAAGTACTAAATAAATAAATAAATAAATAAATGGAGAAAGAGAGTTTGTGGCTTCATTCCCTGCTGCTCTTCTGTTACTTGAGGACATAAGCTTTTGTATCCCTTTACCCTTCTATCCCTTCCATCTCGTGAAGGCAAGCATTCAAGGACACAGAATAAGACTTCAGCAGACACCAAACCCACTGGTGCCTTGATCTTCTTGGACTCCCAGCGTCCATGACTGTGAGAAATAAATTTTGGTTGTTTATAAACTACCCATTCTCAGGTATTTTTGTCATTTGCAGCACTAATGAACCAAGGCAGATGTGCCAAATGCCAGTCAATTTCCCTACATTGTTCCCTGGAGTCCCTTTTCAGTTTTACAGTCATAGGTGCTATAGTTTCTCAACTGGTCTATAGAACTCTCATAGAGGTTTTTTGGTCAGCATTGTTGTTACTATGTCCATGTTTCTGTGAAAGAAGGACTTGCAGCTTTCTAGCCCACCATCTTGCTGTAATAGATGTGTGTGTGTGTGTGTGTGTGTGTGTGTGTGTGTGTGGTGCTGGGGATGGAACCCAGGGCCTTGTGCATGCTAGGCAAGTGCTCTGCCACTGAGCGACATCCCAACCCTGCAATAGATTCTGGTATGGTCACTGTATCTGCTCCAAGAAGGTCATCATCTCTGGGCTGCAGTTGTTTCTTATTTTGAGATTGGCAAAAATTGTTATACTTTTTCCAGAACCTTCCACAGAAATAGTATCTATGAGAACTGAGCACCACATCCCAGCTTCAGTGGCCTCCTTCGACCCTCCAAGGTCCCAGGCCAGCCTGGCACACTGGTTAGCCCTGGTTAGGTGCTTGTCTTCTAGGATGAGCTATTTCCTTTCTCTCTGCAGTGCTCACACCCCCAGAAGCTGCTCCAGATTGCCCAGGAACTTCTGCACACCGAGGAGACCTATGTGCAGCGGCTGCACCTGCTGGACCAGGTAGCCCACACAGCTGGGCCGGTGTGGGGGGGCACACTGTCCATGGTGGACAGTTATGCTCAGTGGCTGTTGTGTGCCTTTCTATGCTCAGGTTTTCTGCACCAGGCTGATGGAAGCAGGGATACCTCTGGAAGTCACCACTGGCATCTTCTCTAACATCTCTTCCATCTACCGCTTCCATGGACAGTTCCTGCTGCCTGAACTACAGATGCGCATCACAGAAGAGTGGTGAGTACCATCTATGGCCACTTGGGGAGCCCCTAAACTTGGAGCTCATATGCCTGCAAGCCAGGCAGGAGCCTGGGGGGACTGTCTCATGGTGGTTGGAGAGCATCCCTTCTCTTCATGGTATTGGGTCCCATGGCAGTCCCACCTCTTCCTGGTTGCTGACTTTGACTGGTCACTTCCTGATTCTGAGAAAGTTGATGCTACAAGAATGAGAGGATTTTAACACCCACCCGGGGTCCATGGGGTTTAAATAAGTTTTGGCATCTGAAGCATAAACCGAGAAACAAATAGTGATGCTAATTTTATTGTCTCTCCCAGTATATATACTCTGCCTTTGTTTTAAACAAGAATGGCATTTTCTCCCCAACAGTGGACCCCAGATCCTCCTCCTTCTCCCACCTCATGCTTCTGCCCATTCATAGCACAAGGACAGCTTGGCTGTAAGACATGATTAGTGAAATGACACAGTAAGGGCCCCAATTTGCCAGTTCTCATTATGTGGGGTTTCTTTTTCACCTATGTCTCAGAATGGGGCTGGAACAGTGTGAATCTTCAGAAAGACAAGGTCTGGCTGCAGAGCAGGTTACACTGTGTCCCCAAGGCAGGCAGGGCTGGGTGTGGCTTTCTGGATGACAAAATCCATGCCTGATAGACTCAACCCTAGATGTCCATGTAGCCTCCTTGGCCCCTCTATGACAAGGGCACAGGGGTCCAGCTTCTGTCCCACTGTCCCACTACTACATCTACTAATCAAACCCACGAGTGCACTTTCCCAGGAGCAATGGCTTTGTGCCTGTGTCTTTTTTTTCTTTGATTTTGGTTATTTGGTTAGAGTAAAACTCCAACAGAGAGGTCAAAGATCAAAGATTATTAATATAGTGTTTGCCTCTTGGAACTTATTTGCACAGCCTTGTCCAGAGCAGTAGTAAGTTTTCACTATCAGTTCTGCTAAGTACTACTCTCCTGGTGACTTTGGCAACATTGGATAGAGCCAATGGCGAGTCATTGACTCCAGTAACTGTGGCCCATCACTCTAGGAGTTTCACTGCTACTAACATGTTTGGCCAGTGGTGCTCAACCCACACTATTGAGGTGTTTTATAGACATCCTCTCTTTTTCAGTCTCCAGTAACACACTATTTTCTACCCCACAAGACACAAGGGAGGTAAAACGTTCAGAGGGGGTGACCAGTGTACCAAGCAGTACACAGAAGTAGGAGGCAGGCTGTTGCCCTAGACAACACCTAGACCCCTGGTGAAGTTCATGCCCATCTCCCTGGGGAACCCCATTTTTTATCAAGGCTGTTTTTCTGATGACCTTACGCCTCCACAAAGGGACACAAACCCCCGGCTTGGGGACATCCTGCAGAAGCTGGCCCCTTTCCTGAAGATGTATGGCGAGTATGTCAAGAACTTTGACCGGGCAGTGGGACTGGTGAGCACGTGGACCCAACGCTCACTGCCATTCAAGGATGTTATTCACAGTATCCAGGTAAGTGGCTACATGGTATGGCCACAGACATCCTCAAGTCTTATGGAGCTGGGTATGCTTTTTTTAAATGTGTATATTTTGCCCCCAAAAGTAATAGATGACAGTAAAATTATGAGATGCATTTTAATGTTCACTCAATGCTTTGATCTTTACAATAACCCTAATCTCAACATTCCACTGAACAGATGGGAAGACTGTGGCCCAACAGCACAAATTATTATTTGATAGAACCAGGATTCAGTAGCCAGTCTCTGACTTCGCAGCATCCCTCAGTGCATAGGGATGCTCTTACAAGGTGTCTTGCTGGTCTTTTCTTTTTCTTTGTCTGCAGTGGGCCTGTTCACAGCCCTTTGCTGCCCTTGTGTTCTGGGTGTTGGTCTTTTTTTTTTTCTTTTTTATTGATTCACAAGCTTTTGATATATAAAGAACACCAACCATTGTCTGTCATTCCTTTTTTGTGTTCTGGGTGTTGATCTTTATTTTTTTATTGATTCACAAGGTTTTGATATGTAAAGAACACCAACCATTGTCTGTCATTCTTATTGCAGGTACTTTTCCTCACTGATCTTTTTTTTTTTTTTTAATTTTTCGGTTATGATGGCCATATAGAATTTTTGGGTTTTGAGTACTTGCATGTACCAGTTTTTTAAAAAGGTACTTCTTTTTTAAAGTCTTCAAAGAATTGCTTATAAGTGCATTTCCCACTAGCCAAGATTATGTAAGCTATATTCCTCCTCTAACTTTGTGGCTTCATTTCAAAACTTGAAAAAGCTATGCCAATGTAGTTTCCAGATGGATTGTGGTGTGTGGAAATAACCCAGGTCCATAGTCAGCTGCTTGCCCCAGCTCCTCTAGTGACCCTGAGTGGTGTGTTCACGTGTACACACATATGCATACACATTTGTACATAGATACATGCATGTGCACACATACACACATACACTGCTCCCTATTCTCTGTAGTTTGGAGGGCTCCTGGGTTCTGAGTTCTCTATGCTGAGGGTGTGGAGGTACAGCCTGCAGTTGTGGTGGTCCCTCATACCTTCCTTCATTTTCTCCAGTCCTTGTTGTCACCAAGTCACTCACAGCTCCCAGGCACTCAGTAGCAGTGCAAGGTCACAGACAGATGTCCTCACATTGAGCTCTTCTTTCTCCTCCTTTGTCCTTCACCCTGTCCATCCCGAACTCTCCCTGCTGGTTCTTACTCTAGCTGTCTCCAACCTCAGCAAGCTCCACCTTTCCTGACACAGCAGCCCCCATGGGATACTTGTCACTCACCCCAAAGCCTGGCTGCCTGAATCTGTGAGGCTAACTCTGATCATTCACAGCTGCAGTGATAGCTAGGCCTGTAGGGCAGACAGTGACCAGCCAAATGGGATCTGTCAGAGGACGGAGCATTTAGGCTAGTACAGATGCAGTGTTCTGTAGTCCTGCAGGGGAGGACGAGGACAAATCCCCACTTTCCATGACACAAGTTTCAATATGGTTTCTTTCCCCTTACAGTCTTATCAGCAATCAATGCACCATAAATTATCAAGAAGGACCACGGCTGGGGTTTCCTAGCTCCTCCCTAACCCGTGTTCCATCTGGCTGGGTGTCCTTCTTAGTCTGAATACTGAAGTTTGCTATTTTTTTTTGTCTCTTTCTCCATTCTCCTCCTCTTATTCCTTCACCATCATCATTATCATTGCCATCATAATGCTATAATTGAGGATGTTGAACTCCGTCTAGATTTGCAATGGCCAATTGATATCTATTTGGTTATTTTGAGAAAGAAAAGAAGACAAAGATAAAATCAGGATTCCTCTGGCTTTTTTCCCAAGTTGCTTGTCAAGCCGGTGTCTCCCATCTAGGCCTGGGGATGAAGGAGAGGGAAGGGAATTTGGGAATTTGCCTCCCTCCCAGGAGATGCTGTGACATTAAACAACCACACAGCTGTGCAGTATAATGGTACCTGTGTGCCATGGAACCCAATGAGCAGCTCTCTTCTGAGGGTGAGACAGGTGGTTGGCCTGGCACAGGCAGCTGACCGTGACCGCAGGGGCTAGATCAGGATCTTGGGTCCAACAGACCCTTAGGTGACAAAACACTTTCAGAGTTGGGATGAGACACAATGGTCTGGAGCTGTTGGCGGTGCCTGGTCACAGGCCAGCTGCTGACCAGCATGTGCCCACCCTTGGGTTGACTTCAAGCACTGGGCCAGCAGGCTATGGGATGGTTCAGCACCTTGAACTAAGCACAGTCCAGCCATTTTGTGTGAGGCAACATTGACCCCAAGGTCCTGGGCCATGTCGTAGGCATTGAGGCTGCTCCTGGCATCTGGGGGGTGAAGTCTGGGGATTCCCTGCCATGCACAGGATGGTGCACAACACAGAATTCTCCCATCCAAATGACCATACGTTTATACTGAGAAGCCTTGGCACAGACAAAATGGGGTTAATTGACAGTTAAGTTTCCCATGGCCTTTGAAGATTTCCTTTGTTCAATCCAAAGCCCATTTTAAATTCCTTAAGCTTGAAAAAATAATTCCAAACATTTATAGAATAATTGAAAAAATGGCAAATTGTTATAAACAGATAACATTTTGTCCTGTTTCTCTTTAAAACATAAGTAACATTATTATTTCCTGAGTTTTTTTGAAACCAAGTTGCAGACACTGTAGCCCTTTCTGGATAAATCTGAGGAATAGTCTCCCAAATGAGTGACCAAAATGAGGACTTTTGCATTGATGTCATAGTACTGTCTGTTCCTTAGCCCACACTCAGTTGTCACCAGTTGTCCCAACAGTGCTCTTTTTTCTTTTCTTTCTGGTCCATAGCCCACCTCAGGACGCACACTGCCTTCGTCGTCAAGTTCGCCCCCTCCCGTCTAGCTCAGGCCTTCTGTCCCTCACTTCCCAGGGAGCCAGGCCAGTTACTCAGCAGCTTTCCCCGAGTTTAGGTTTGTCTGTTGTTTGTCCACAATGTGAGTTACACTGTGTCTTTGTGAGTGTCACAGAGTGAGACTGTGCCTTTTCCCCATCATACGTTTCTTGTAGGGAGATGCTTTGAGGTCATGTAAATATCCTGGTCCTCCCTTGATGATTTTCCCACAAAATAATTGTTTTTCTGAAAGCTGCAAACTAGGGCGTTTCTAGCCCTGCTGTAGTCAAAGCATTTTTGAACTTCTCTGACTGGAAGTTGTTCTTTCTGGGCCCCCAGTTGGATGTGGGTGGACTGAGGTCCTGGGGCTGCTGGCAGGGGCTGGGAATGTAAGCAGGCAGTGTGTCAGAAGAGACAAGCTCTGTCAGCTAAGATGCACTGCCATTGAGCATTATGGGGGAGAAGGAAATGAGGCGGAATGGACTGGAGAAGCCGAGGAAGACAGAGGTGATGGAGTGGCGGCATCAACACAGGTGTCCCTGCGGCTCGAGGGTTAGGGCTTAGCAAGCAGCAGCAAGATGTTCTGAAGTGTTAGAACAGCGCTGCTGTGATCCAGAGAGAGGATGGGAGGTACGGGGAGCCATGAGAAGTGCTGGGCAGGGGCTGGACCACAAGGGTCTCAGCATCCCACTTCCCTCTGGAGAGACAATTCAGTTTTTTTTGTGGTGGTGGGACTGGGGTTTAAACTCGGGGCTTCATGCTCGCAAAGCAAGAGTTCTACCACTTGAGCCACACCTCCAGTCCATTATTTTTGGAGATAGGGATCTCGTGAACTATTTGCCAGGGCTGGCCTCGAACCTTAATCCTCCTGATCTCAGCCTCCCAAGTAGCTAGGACTACAGACGTGACCAGTGGCGCCCAGCTCACTCTTGTTTTTATAATGAGGGGAATCTACAGAAGGACTATCAGGGCAGCTTCTAGGCATGAGGAGAGACGCTGGCCTGATTCCATATAAGGAAAGCTGGACAAAGCTTGGGTCCATTTCTGACAGAGGGGAAGAGGAACTGAGCTCAGGTTCAGGGTGGGTGGGATGGGGAGCAAATGCTCTTGAGGAAGAAAAGCATTGTCCTGGCATTTGTGTTCTCCAATGAGGATGTGTGCAAAGAATAAGTTCTGGGTGCAGAGCCAGCCTTCCTGAATCATTGCTTCATCCTTCAGCCTCTCTGGGCCTCAGTTTCCCCAGCTCTAGAGTCTGTGTGTCAAAGAGCAGGCAGCTCCGGCAGCTCCTGGGCTGGACAGAAGCAGGGAGGGTCTGGGCCAATATCCTCGGGGTGCTTACAAGGCCCTCTGTCCCCCCCAGAAGGAGGCAGTTTGTGGGAACCTGACCCTGCAGCACCACATGCTGGAGCCTGTGCAGAGGGTCCCCCGCTACGAGCTGCTGCTCAAGGACTATCTGAAGAGGCTCCCCAGGGATGCTCCAGACCGCAAGGACGCAGAGAGTAAGTGGAGGTGGCCCAGGCTGAGGGGTTACCCCAGGGTGGAGGGATAGGAACCTTACGGTAAGGGGGGAGAGAGAGAGAGAGAGAGGGAGAGGAGAGAGAGAGAGAGAGAGAGAGGAGAGATTTGTTTAGGAATTGTTTAGGAAGTGACTTGGTGTCTTTGAGGGCAGAGAAAAATGTCCCCTGTGAAAAGGACGCTGGTTCTGGGGAAGATGCTGCTGGATGCTGGTCCCATCCAGAGTTTAGGCCCTGTGGGGTCAGCAGGGGCCACTCCTAGCCCAAGGATGATGACTGGTGTAGCTGGTGGGCCGCACGGGGCAGGGGTTCGTGCAGGAAAGTGTGGCGGGTCACACTTGGTGTTGACCCTGGAAGCCTAGGGAAGAGCAGTATCCACAGGACCTTGCACCCTACCCCTTCTCTGGGCCAGTCTGATGGGGTAGTCTAGGGCACCCAGAGAAAGACTGGGTGCAGGGACCTGTCCCATTGGTGGCAGCCACCTGCAGCTCCAGTCTCTCAGGTGAGAGGGTACAGAGCCTCTGTGTGCTCCGGCTGACCTGGGCTCCCCTTCTGCAGGGTCCCTGGAGCTCATCTCCACAGCCGCCAACCACTCCAATGCAGCCATTCGGAAAATGGTGAGTGTGGGTAGCTGTGGGCGGTAGAAAAGTACAGGATAAGCCAGGGTGGGCGGGCTGCATGAGCAGACACCTCACCCCTGTCCCAGTGAGCCCTGTCAATGTGCACCATCGCCGCTGTCCCCAGGTGGACTCCATTAGTGAGCATTTTCCCCTCTGCCTCCCAGCTGGGCGCATCAGCGAGCGCTCTCACTAAGGGGGCTGCTTCAGGGTGGTCAGCGATTCCATCTGAAACTGGCCCTTACTAGATCTGCGATTTTGGTCGGTTATTTAAGCACTCTGTGCCTCAGTTTCCCCACCTTTGAAATGAGGACATTGAAGGAGCTGTATCATTAGGTGTCATGGGGATTAAAAGACTCACTGAACATAGTGTCCTTGGTGACATAATAAGTGTCAACTCTCATTGTTAGAGTCATTCATTCATTCATTATTCACTGAAGTGCATTAGTCCCTTTCATGGGCTGGCTCTGTGCATGCCCAGCCCCCCAATACATGCCAGGTACACACCCAGCCCCCCAAGTATGTGCCAGGACATGCAGGTGCACACTCAGCTCCCCTACTACATACCAGATACATACAAGTACACATCCAGTCTCCCCGCCACACACCCAGCCCCTCAGTACATACAGCTGCACACCAGTGCCCCTAACACATACCAGGTGTGTTCCTAGTCCCCCAGTACACACCAGTTGCACGCTCAGTACCTCCCAGTACACATCTGGTAGGTAAATGCACAGCCCCCCAAAACACACCAGGGGCATGCCCAACTCCTAGTACATGCCATGTTAACCCTGTACACACCCAGGTACACACCAAGGCTAAGCCCTGTTCCACTCATAGAGGACAGGAGCACACCCAGTTTCCCTGTATGTACTCACACCAGAACCTGCTCATTCTCCCTTGTTCCTGTAAGGTCCTCAGCCCTGCCTTGTCTGTCCCTTTAGTGTTCCTTACATCCTATGCTGTGCTGTTTAGTCCACTTGCATCCTTCTGCATCCACACCAGAGGCAGAAGGGCCAGCCTAACTTGCCTGCTTCCAGGTGTACAGGCTGAAATCATTCAAGTCCGAGGATAGGAGCTGCCAAGGCTTGGTGGGTCTAAACCCAGACCATGTTGCTGCTGTAGAAGACCCTACAGGCTCAATTCTACCTTCTGCAGTGTTGGCTTCCAACTCAGAGCTGGGGCTATGAACTGCTACTCCCACCCTATCACGCCTTAAGGTGCTGTTGGCCATGTGACCACTCAACCAGTCACCGTGGCCTGGGAGAGGTGATGTGTAGCTTGACCTAGTCTGAGTTGTGGCCACTCAACTGCCCTCTTTATGCCTCAGTTTGCTTGTCTATAAATTAGGATAATAATGGCACCCCCCATATATATAGTTGGTTTTAGAATTAAATGAGTTAAATACATAGCATGTGTAGAACAGATATAGCAATGGAGGCAGCTGTAATCTATTATTATTGTTAGTATTATTTATTCTCTTCATGGTGAAGTTCTAATCATCTTTTAATACTTAAATGTCACCCCGGTTTCCTTCCCATTTCATTGTCAGCAGATTCGTTATCCTGTTGAGGTTCTGGATTGTAGTTGCAAGGCAAGGCTCCACTCGCCTTTGGGTCCCCAGCAGCCGCTTCTGGCCTTTGGTCCCTACTGAGCCCTCTGTCTCTTGTAGGAGAAGATGCACAAGCTCCTGGAGGTCTATGAGCAACTGGGTGGGGAAGAGGAGATCGTCAACCCAGCCAATGAACTGATCAAGGAGGGTCACATCCAGAAACTGTCGGCCAAGAACGGCACAGCCCAGGACCGCCACCTCTTCTTGGTGAGCCAGCTGCCAGTCCAGCCACAGAGCTCTCTTTCCTGCTTCCTCGGGCTCTGGGCATCCTGGGAGATTCAAGGACTCTAGGCACCATCTTTTGCCAATGGCTCTGTCCCATTTACTGCAAATACTGCATATTTTTAACGCTCACATCCATCGTCCCTTTTTTCCTTAATCTGCCTCTTCTGGAATTGAGCAGTCACCAGTGACCAGGAGAATACAATGAACTGTAGCCAAACACAGGAATTTCAACTGTCCCAGAACCAAATCCTGGCTCAGAGGGAGGGGAAGTATCTGATGTATTAGGAAGACACATATTTCTTCTCTTTTCCATTTTCCTCCTCCTCCTTTTGGTGGGACTGGAGTCTGAGCTCAGGGATTTACACTTGCAAAACAGGCACTCTACTGCTTGAGCCACACCTCAGTCCACTTTTCTCTGGTAATTTTGGAGATGGAGTCTTGCACACTGTTTGCCAATGCTGGCCTTGATCCTTGATCCTCCCAATCTCAACCTCCCACATAGCTAGGATTACAGGTATGAGCCACCAGCACCCAGAGTTGTCTTCCTCCTCCTCCTCCTCCTCTTCCTCCTCCTCCTCCTCCTCCTTCTCCTTCTCCTTCTCTTCCTCCTCCTCTTTCTACACATCCTCCTCCTCCTTCTTTGTGGTGCTGGGGATCCAATCTGGGGCTTCCTGCTTACTATGCAAGTGCCCTACCACTGAACTGTACCCATAGTCCAGCTTCTATTCTTCTCAAAAAACCAGTTACATCTTTGAAAATTTCTTTTTTAAAGTTAAAAAGATTTACATTCACCAAAATCGCTTTAGCTTTATAGTTCTGACTTTTGACAAATGCGATAATTGTAACCACAATCAAGTTATAGAAGAATTCGATCACTGCCTACTCAAATTTCTTTGTCCTGACCTTGTGTGGTTAAGCATTTCCCCAGCCCTGGTCACTACTGATTTTTTTTTCTCTGTTTATATAGTCCCGTTTTCCCAGAATGCAACATAAATGCCAGCAGACAGGTCTGACTTCATTCACTTGGCATGTGAATTTGGGAGAGTCATCCATGTTTGCACATGTGGCAGTAGCTCATTCAAAATATTTGCTTGCTTATCACACAATTCACCCATGGGCATGGTGGACAAACTGAAAACTAGGAATTGGGTCACCTCGTTCAGAGATGTAAGCATAGTTAGAACAACTGTGTACATCTTTTTGAAAATATGTGTTACTTTGTGACCTTAAAGGAAAGCTTAGTTTATAAGGGCCCCCCCTCACCATGATGTTCTTCTTACAGTTCAACAGCATGGTCCTCTACTGTGTGCCCAAACTGAGGCTCATGGGCCAGAAGTTCAGCGTCCGGGAGAAAATGGACATCTCTGATCTTCAGGTGGGTGAGCCCCTCTCTCCCAAGTCTGCCCTGAGGGGCAGGGCTGGGGACAGCAGTTTCCAGTCACCAGCTTACTGACCGAGGGCTTGTGGGAACATCATCTCGGCCCTGGCCTGGATAAACAGGAATTCCCCCTCTCTTGCTTGGCCTACCTGCCATGTCCCCGCCGGTCTCATGCTGAAAGATGGTCCGAGTCAGAAAACTAAAGTGAGCAATTCTTGGGGTCCCAGGGAATGGTGGGGGTAGGGGACTGCCCCCAGTGAGGCCAGGACTCAGGGCCTAATTTACAGACCCCAGAGTGATGCTTGAGTCACAGGGACAAATTCAGGATGGAATGTGGACCTGCTTGCCCTGACTGGTCTAAAGAATGGTTTGCAGGTGCCTGTGTGTCTTTGCTGCCTCCTGGTCTGTGAGCCTATTCTGTGTCTCATGGTAGTGGGAACTGGAATGGATTCTGTTCACTGTGGGAGGGCTTTGAAAACAAAAAAACAGGCTATATCCAAGTATTTAATGATTTTAAAAATACAGATTTGCTTAAATGACACACACACACAAAAAATCCTTCCTTTGAAATTCTCCTGCTCCAGGTTAAGAAAGATAATGATAAACAATGACTAACTACATAAAAAAATCCCTTTTTCCACAGTTAGAAGACACCATTTTTCCAGTGTTTCTCTATAAGAAATCAGTCCTGTTTTGAAAGATTTGATGTGTTACTACAGTTCTCAACCCGTGGTTAGGAAAGTGTAGGTATTCTGGGCTGGTCCAGAATATGCATTTCCATAAAGCCACAAGCTGGCTGGTTAGGGGTGGGGGACACCCTGAGGACTGCAGGGGGCCCCAGTTCTGCTACTGTTCTCTGTTGTTTTGTGCTAATGGGAGAGGAAGCGATCTGAGAACCTAGGAGAAATGGCCCTATTTCACCAGCCCTGTTCTGGTGCACATTTTCCTGTATATTTCTTTAAATTCAGGATGCACCTGCTCACATGGACTCAAATGTCTGCAGGGTGGCAAAAGCCCTCCTGGCTCTTCTCATAAGGTCCTCATCTCTCCTAAATGGGTGCAGCTGCTGTGGGTGGTGGTGCCAATGGGGAAAGGCTGGGCGTGGGCTGGCTGAAGGCAACTTTTAGTGGAGGCCCGAGGGGAGAGTGAGTTTGCTCAGCACGTTCCACATACAAAGGATGACAGGTTCCTGTGCTGGGTGGGTAGGATCAATGGCCCACCCTCCCCCTAGGACTGGCTCAGGCAGCTGCCACCATCAGCCACTGTGACCCTGAGTTTCAGTGTCTTCTCCCTGCACACCTCTGATACCTCCTCTAGGAAAAACCTCCAAGTCCAAGAACACAGTGCTGACATTGCGGAACAGCTAAAATAACTGGCTTGTCTTTGTTTATGTTTTGTTGTGTGTTCTCCTTCCTGCAGGTGCAGGACATTGTAAAGCCAAACGCAGCACCTACATTCATCATAACGGGAAGAAAACGGTCCCTGGAGCTCCAGACTCGGTATGGCACAGGCCATCACTGGACTTCTGCTTGTGAATGTCTTTGACCTGCCTGAGATCGTAGCAGACATTTTCTTTTCCTAAGCAGGCTAAATTTAAAACAAAAATGTTTTTGTTTTGTTTTCTGTTTATGTGGTACTGGGGGTTGAACTCAGGGCCTTGAGCTTGCTGGGCAGGTGCTCTACCATTTTTGATGTGTTTTTATTTATTCATTTATTCATAGTTCAGTATTTCACTGTACCAAGGGGAGGTCAATGAAATTAAGCCTTTGCCTACCTTCTGTTCCTCAGGCCTGGTAGATATTTTTAGCCATCACTTAGATAGCCTTCCAGAAAGTTCTGTTATATATATATATATATAAAACATATATATATAACATATATATATATATAACATATATATAACATATATATATAACATATATATATATATGCACACACAATGTAAACCATATATATAAAATATACTACATGTACTATATATGCTATTACAGTCTATACAGTACATATTGCTATTATATACTGTATCTAATACTCCTATGAACATATATATAGTAGAACGTCATTCTACATTTCAGCAGTTGTTGTCACATTACCCTCTAAGGCCAGGCTTGTGCTTTCACTGATGTGTAGATCCGGCATCCCACATCCCACCAATGGCTTTGTAAAAGCTTTGTAGTTGCCTGCTTGAGTTCAGAGAGACATTGGTCTATACCCACTGCAGCCGGTTTACACAGCAAGCCTGACCCCACCTGGCCATGAGTGTTTTGAGCCCTTGGAGCCAACTTTCCAGCCTCCACCTGAGACAGTGAATGGCTCAGTGTGTGCTGCAGGGCTGAGAGGTTTATAGTCGGAATCCAAGACTGGATTGATAAAATAGTTTCTGTTTTTACAGGACAGAAGAAGAGAAGAAAGCATGGATTCAGGTGAAGCTGCTAAAATTTTGGAGTTAGCAATCCCCAGTTACTGAGCAGTATGGCCATCTCGTGTTGGAGCATGGGATGGGAGTGGCCCCAGGACCTCCTCCCCGACACCTGGCACTGCCTGTCCCTATGTCCTACCTGGAAGGAAGCAGTGGTTGTTGTGTGCCTTCATTCGCACCTTCAGCTGCTACAAGTCTTTCAGTCCATTGCCTTTTTAAACTCCTCCCCATAAATGAGTGGATGTAAATGCACTGAGAGGGGCAGGGAACCAGTGTTCTCCCTGGAGCAGGTCTTTTCAACCTGGATGGCTCCAAGGGAGAGTTGTGTCATTGGTTAGGGGGAAAGGAAGATGATTAGAGGTCCTTCCTTGAAGGCCAGGACCCCATCCTCGGGACAGAGACTGGGATGTCCCCCCCAGCATTGGCATCCTCCCCTAGCTCTCTGACAACCCATGGCTTCGCTGTGTATCCAGGTCATTCAGGCCACCATAGAGAAGCACAAGCAGAACAGCGAGACCTTCAGGGCCTTCAGCAGCACCTGCAGCCAGGACGAGGAGCCTGGCTTGTCTCCAGACTCGCCTGTGAGTCAGCAGCCTGGGCCAGGGTGGGATGGGATCGCGGTGCAGGTGGCTACTCACTGGGAGCCTCCATGGCAGCCTGCTGGGAGACAGTGCTTCTTGTGTGCTGTTTTGTGGTGTCGCACCTTCTGCATGGCAGCCCTGTGCACTGAGGGATTTTATTTATTTTCTCCGAGGAACCTGAATCTCACAAAACTCAGTGATATGTATAGTCCACCATGATACCTTCTTGCATGTTATTCTGACCAGCCCAGGATATTCAATAATTTTGGACATCTTTTTTTTTTTTTTGGTGGTACCGGGGCTTGAACTCAGGCCCTACACCTTGAGCCACTCCACCAGCCTTTTTTTTTTTTTGTACTGGATTTTTTTGACATAGGGTCTTGCAAACTATTTGCCTGGGCTGGCTTCGAACCTCCATCCTCCTGATCTCCACCACCTCAGTAGCTATGATGACAAGTGTGAGCCATCGGCACCTGGCTTGGACATCTTTTTGCAGTTGTATTTTCTCCCCAAATGCCTTCATACTCTGGAAGAGGTTGACTCAGAATCCTCTGAGCAGAGCAACAGGGGCAGCTCATTCTCCCTCCTTGTGAAGCTACCCTGTGGCTGCAGGGGACAGACTCCATGCAGAGACTTGGGTCATGCAGGAGGCGGGTTGCAGAGTCACTATGAAGTAGCCAGATGGGGAAGATGGCTGAAGCCTTGGCTGAGCCTGGCAATCCCTCTTATCTTCCATGCAGTCAGGGAGGGCTGGATGTGGAGGCTGATCTCTGCCTGATTTTTGGAAGGCTTTATACTGTGGTGTGCATGGGACTGGGGTCACTGCAAGGACAACTTGCCAGGGCCCATGCTGCCTTCATTCAGCCTTCAGTGGTGGTCCCCCACTGTCTCCAGGTTCATCTGGAGGAACTGCCTTTCCAGGCTGGCCCTGCCTTCCCTGGCCTCACAACATCGGCCCTTTGCCCAATAGTTGCATCCTATCTATCTACTTATTTTTTTCTGCTTCCTGGATATATTTTGGAGGAAAACTTAGCATCATTCCTAGGAAGGAAGGTTCCTGTGAGCTTCCTGAGTGGAGATGGCCTAGGGACAGAGGTTGCTGAGCCTGGCTGTCAGGTTGCAGGCATTAGGGTCTGCAAAGTCACCAAAAGGATCCCAGAAGGATAAGGAGAGAATCCATAGTGTGACAGGGTGTGATTTAGAGCCTTCTGATCAGGGCCACCAGGACTCATCTGCCAGCACCCACCCCACTGGGGATCCCCAGATACCTTGGGATCGGGGACCAGGCCCATGGAGGTAGTGGCTCCCCAGAGCCCCCGTGCTCACTGAACAGTGCTGATTCTCTAGTACCTGTCCTCCAGTGCAAGAGGGCAGGGATGCCAGCATGAGGAAATGCCCCTGCTGCATGCGACACGCCACGTGGCAGTGGAAGCCCTCATATTCAACCTCTGTGTTCCTTTCCAGGTGGTGAGCACAAGCTCTGTGGAGCCTGCAGTGGTGCCTGATAGCAGTGGGAGTGCCACAGGGGTGAGCGACCCCCACCCAGTGTTCAACAAAGAATCAGACCAGGGTGACCTGGAGGGTGGAAGCCAACGGGTCAGCCTGCCCCCTGCTGTTTACTCAGGATCTGAATATGCAAATGTGAGACTGTGTCTGAGGCCAGGCGCTGGTGACTTGGCTGTGCAGGTGATCCCAACTAGAGGCTCTTGGTGTAGACCCCATGGAAGCCTGTTGGTGGTCATCATGTAACCGTGTGCATCTTTAGGGATTCTCTGAGCTCTACGTGAACGTTGTGCTCTTGCTGTGTGTAAATTATGTCTTGGTAAAGCTTATAGTAAAAAGGTGTCCAGCGGTGCAAAAACACAGGTTCATCCTCACCCAAGAGACCTAGTCGTCATGGAGCCCTGGCCTCCTCAACTCTCTGTGTGTTCTCATCTGCCTTAAGAAAGATGAACCCTCCCCGCCCTCTAAAAATCGTGGCTTGGGGTAGGTGGCTGTGCCCCTGAATCCATCTGTCAGGGACTGAATGTGGGACCTTAGAGGAGGCCCTTCTCCCTTCATTTAATTTACGGAGTTTAGTAGACTGAGGCACTGATGTGCAAGCTGCACAGTGAGCATCAGTACCTGAGCCAGCTGAGGGGCCCCACAGCTCCCTGCACTGATGGTGACACCATGGGGCCACACTAGGCCCACAGGCTGGACAGCACTGTGCTGGGTCCTGCCGTTCTCCTGGCTTAAAAGAATGACAGGACACCTGCGTGGGTTGTCCTCCCTTGCCCCTCCCAGACATGGGCTCTTCCTCTCCCTGGGGGGTCTCCAGACACCATCTCAGGGCACAGTCCCACATTCTTCCCCCACACTTGCCTCCCTTTCCTCATACTTGCTCTCTTTCTCTCTCTTTTCCTTTCTCTCTATCTCTGATTCGGTCTCTATGTCACTCTGTCTCACTTTCACTGTCTGTCTGTCTCTCTGCTTCTCTGTCGCTGTCTGTCTCTATCTCTCTCTTCTTTGCCACTGTCTCTGTCTCTCATGTTTTATCTCTGTCTGTCTCTGTCCCTGTCTCTTTGCTCTTTGTCTGTCTGTCTCTGTTTCTCATGTCCTGTTCTGGGGCAGGTGTGGGCCACCTGGATGAGCCCTAGAACAGCCAATGACTCAATCTCATCATAAACTCCAGCCCTGGGGCTCTCTGTGAATGCGACCCTGTTAGGTTATTGCTGCTCCCTTGGGTTCTGTCATGTAACCCCACTTGAGGAGGAAGCAAGCTCAGGGTGGTCAGGTGAGCTGGCCTGCATGTGGGGGAAAAGGACCCTCCTTGGGGTAGAACAGCCTGGGGTGAAAGGCAGGGGAGTGCTTCTGGGTCAGCATTCATTCCTGTCATGACCTAGATTGTCAGCAGATGACATCATACCCCACTGATGGGACAGTGTGGAGCCACGGCTGGGCAGGCCTATCCTGGGGAGCATGGGTGGTCCTGCCCCTCCTCCACATGATCTGAGCTTTCCCAAGTCCCATGGAGCTCAACCTTGAAGAAACTCATGAGGCTTTGGCATGGGCGGGGGTGGGAGTGGAAATGGAAGCATTTTAGGGGCAGGAGGAGAAAATGGGGCAGGGGAGGCCCCAAGATAAATATGAAATGCCGTTGCCTGACCTCTGCAGAGCAGACAGGCAACCTGAGGGTAAATTTTGTTTAAACTGAAAGTCAGTTTAAACTGAAAGACAGGCAACCTGAGGGTAAATTTCGTTTAAACTGAAAGTCAG